AATCCATAAGTATTCACCTTTGGCATGTTCATATCTCTTTGGCTAAGGATGGACTGTGAATCGATTTATTCTCAGAAAGGCAGATGCATTAACACACAGGGTTTACAAGTCTTGACAAGTTAACAGTGCGGTCGCGCATCTCGCCTGCGGCCAGTTGCCATCTTGCCCGCGCACTATGCGGTTGGTGGTTTGCATTGGTTACCATTCATACAATATTGTGTTGTATCTTTCTCATCATTTCTTCTCTAAATGTAGCTTCTAACAAATGATTAAGATTTACTGAAAAGTAAATCTTGTGTACTGTTTGATTGCATTCTTCGCGAGTTAACCTAAACCACACCCAAGTTCTATGGTGCACTCGAGGAAGGAGGGAATTAGTGGAGTCTCGGTCTACAACGGAGAATATATGTTTTGCGATGAGATGGGGTTTTTTTCTCGAAGGTTGTTCCCAGTAATATCTGCCAGAAAAAAAAGTGGGAACAGACTTTGGTATGGAGGAGTGGGTTCTTCATGAGAACGGTTGAGTGAGAAGCTTGCATCTTGTAAATCTCCTTTCCATATTGGACTTAGAGCTTACTCTGGATAGCAAAGCTTTGATTACCAGTTCCAGTATGTTTTTTATTACGTGTGGTTCTCCATCTGAACTAGGCCCTTTCATCTTTCATCCCACATGAGACTGTAAAGCGTGAGAATGCAGTAATGAGGAACTAGGTCTGAATAAATGGTCTACGCTGTGATCCTCGGAGATACAGTTAGGATTTTTTTTTCTTCATTCGCCTGATTCTCTTGCTTAGTGAAAGGCATGACGACATGATTAGATTGAGGAGCATGGCTGATTACTTGTAGGGGTCGAATAATGAGCAGGGTGGACTTGAATTACTCGGATACAAGACGTTCATGGTCTCCAACCCATGAAAAAGTTTTTTGGCAAGCAGGAAATGGTGCTCAGGCATCGCGCAGCACGTTCGTTGCGGGAACCGCTCGCACGTTGCCACGTCAGCCCCACATCGATTCTGATCAATGGCTGTCGAAGGATGTGAGCGGGTGTTGTCTCGTTACGAGGGTGCAGACGAGTGGGAACTCAATAGCAGTGTAGGAGCAAGCGGACCAAGCGCTAGTTGGATAAAGAGTGAGCCGAACAGAAAATATTTTTCCTGAACGTAAGGCACTACCACATACACCTTGTAGAAATCTGGTACTCCGGGTGTATCACGGGACTTCCAAAGTCAAAGTCCACCAATAGATGTGAAGGCCTTTTCCGCGCTCAAGCAGTTCGTAGGCTTCGTTCGTTTTACAAGTATTATGGTCCTCACTGTCCAAGGTAATCTCACTGTCACGGCTTAAGTAACGAAGGCGCTGTGGCCCCTTCAGTTGTGGTTTTGACAAGTCCATGTTCTGCCCACCAAACTCAAAGGCTATTTCCTGTATGTAGTTCAGTATTCACACCGCGTTCCTTTTTTCATTGTTCTACAATATTAGCACTAGATGACATGACGAGACGACTAGTGAGCCACAAGTTGCGGGAGACCGCTCGCTGGCATAAAAGGAGCACGTCCGGAAAACTCGTCCGGAATGCTGCCACTTCCCTACTTGAGGTGTTCTCCATGATTTTCGCTCATTTCCCTGGAGAATCAAGCGAATATAGGTTTGAGTTGAATGCAACTATCCACAATATATAATCGCGTTGTCTGTCCTCAGTGGCCAGTAAAACTCTTTTCGATCAATTCAGCTCACTTCTGGTCGTATTGTTAGGCAGTTCAACCCAACGTCACAGCCCGTATGAAGTAGGTTGACTTCGTAACTTGTTAAGATTTCCGACCAGACAACTCTGAGGTCTACCGTACTTGATGCCACCGTTCTTGCTGCCACCCTCCCATTGGAAATTAGAATGGACTTGGAATGGATTACCTTGGAATGGTTTAGAATGGACATACAGCGCAACTGCTGCGTAGTACTATTCTCGTGATCCACATTCATAGCATGGTATGGCATCTTACTAATGATAACTCAAGAAAAGTGTTGATCCCTTGTAACACTCATGTAACCTGTTCGCACACAGATCACTCCGCTCCTCCCGCCCCATTTCCTCCAATTCCACACCATCTAAAATAACCCGGGAATTGTCTACGGAGTGTTCTTATTCACTTCATGTGTAAATTCTTTTGTACGTACTTCTGTTTTTGCTAAGTAGTACAATATCCCCTTTTGGCATGCTCTTAAATTTGCGCTTCATGGACATCGTTTCAGGTGAATTTCATCACAAGCTATGGAACATACCGATGGCCAAGCTGACCCACATGGGTCCAGAAGAAAGATGGATGCAAGTCAGGCAATACAGGTAGGGAAGACCTGGCTCAGTCAGGCCCAGGGGAAGTTGATGCAGGCGGTAAAGCTAGCTCATTGAGGTCCCGTAGAAGAAGTGACTGAATCTCTCCCAATAGAAGGAGAAATCCGTAATGAAACGGCTCTGGCACGTCCATCCAAAAGCAAGCAGTCTCATAAACTGAGCCACCCTTGTTTGCGAAAATTTCTTGGAAACTATGACGATCTCTCCGTTAGGGTGAGTATTCAGTTGCTTGCCACTGGGATCTTAGAATTTCGAAATATGGCCTTTACTAGTTCGACAATGCTTTGGACGAATGCACATCTCTGGTTAAGACAATGGACCAAAAGAGCGATGAGCAAAAAAAGAAGCAATGGGAAGAGGCTATGGTAAGTCGTGTTCCTACTTCTGTGTACTTTGTATGGTTTATTAATCGAGACTCAGCCACCATTGGGCGCTGCGGTAAATCTGTCAAAATTGATTGCGACGAGATACGATTGGATATACATGGCACCTTCCTTTTTGCGATCTGAACGAGTTTTCATTTGCTGTCTTCGTGCGTGTGTATTCATAGGAACACTCTGGACATGCGCTCTTATGTCGAAGACTTCTGAAAGTAAATGGAGTAAACATGGGCAGACATGAAGTAAGAGGTTTATGTAGGTTTTCCAGGGAAATCGGGATATTACTGGTCATTCTCAACTGATGGGAAGACGCTGTTATCTTGACCTGTCGCACAGATTAGATGGGTTCCACCTGCAAGCAGATACAACTTTCATCCCGTTGCAAGATATAGATGTTCGCCCACAAGTTCACGTGTTTGGGTTGCCAACTCCTTATAGAGTAACATTATCAAGCGCAAAATCGAATGCGTTCTTCCCGTAAACGCACACAAAACCGTCCACGATGCGTCGAAGCACTGTTGCCGCACTGACCCAAGGAAGGGACGAAAGGCGAAATGCAATGAATCGCTTGGCAGCCTTACCCCGCATGCTGTATTCTTTTAGTGCGGGCTGCATTCATACTTTGCGACAGCGTTCACCAGGGACCAACAGCGTTCGAGCGTCCATCAGCATCACCGAATAGGAGTTCAAAAGTAGAGAGTGTGGGGAGTAGGCGGGAGCAGACAGTTGGACTAGGAGTCGCGAATTACATATTTCTGTGCTTAAACAGTTGTGCAGTGCGGCTGCACACGCCGCATTTTCACGAGGCCTGATCCAGCTCTCTGCTTCCTCCTACTTCTCATATCCTGCCAGCAGTCTGCTACATTTCTGCTTCCCCTTACGCTCTACTCCTGTACGCTGGTGGTCGCTATCGATACCTGTACTTCCCAAGTCCCTCGGGAAGCCGGTACGTTGGTAGACGCTGCCGCTCGTTAGATCGATATGTGCACTTTCCTTGTCGCTGAAGCTGACGGACGCTTGGAACGCTGGAGGTCGCTGTTGGACGCCGCTGATCTCAATTGAAAGCTGCCTGACATTTTTTCTCAAATCTCGTATCAAACCGTTTCGCAGCTATTTATGTGGTCTGTGGGAAGTATGTCAAGTAAGCGTCCCACAGCTTTTTTTACTGTCCCTAGCAGTCGCTGTTGTCATATCCGAAACGATAGATAAAATTCATAGTTTTCGTCACGCTTCGCTATATGACGCACCCAAGCGCACCTCTTGATTCTCCTCAATTTCTCTGGCGTAATTTGCCAAACAGTTGCAGCGGGGATGTCAGGCTGCGTTCGTACTTGCAGCTGCTCCCACCATCCATCAGCGTTTCGAATGTCCATCAGCGTTATCGACTAGGAAAGTATAGATATCGATTTTCGAACGGTAGCGTCTACCGACGTTCCAGCGATCGCGGTACGGTAGTGCGCAGTAGTTGTGGTGCGGCTGCGAACGCCACATTTACGACGCCTAATCCAGCCGTCTGCTACCCTCCTACTTCCCCATCTCTACTACTGGTAGACGCTAGACCGATATCCATACTTTGCTAATCCTAGAAGCATGGACGCTGTCACAAAGTATAAACACAGCCTCGGCCTCGCAGGCAAGCTCGAATATGATCCAGTCTCAGACGTCGGTTCGACGCTTGACTTCATCTACCCGCTTTTCGTGCGCAGGACGACAATTACGGGGCCCTCCTAGGCCAACTATCTTCGTTGTTCCTTCTTTGGATATCTGTACCAAATCTTGCACATTATGTTTCGAGAGCATTCGCAACTATGTACTGGTCCAACAGTGTTGGCAGCGCACTTTCCTTATATGGCGCCCGATTCGAGATTCCGGTGCTATGTTGGGCCCTTACTTTCAATTTATCGTGTTTTTCCTTCTGTGGAAATGCCGACCAAGTTTTGCGCGTACGGGGCTAAATGTACACTCCACATCTTAGCTATGGAGTGGGTGTAGCTGCGTACTTCACTTGAGCATGGCGTAGAATGCCTTGTTCAAGGGATATTTCCATTTGATACAAGTGTTTTCCTGTCTTGTAGTGTACAAAGTTATGGTCGCAGCTGTTCTGAAAGTGCAATATTCCTCCAAAAGGGCAGCTGCCGCTCATTTGGATGTTTTACGTGGCCACGGACTTCCTATCTCTGGGATTTAGGATGTACTAGCTTCCAATCAATGCTGAAACCCTTATCCGTAGCCCCACTGTTTCTTCGCCAAAACCCCATTTGGCTCCAGACGACCTATTCAACAATGACTTTTTACATGTTACAGATGAATAAGGTACTTATATTTCAGGAGTTCATTAAAGTAGTGGGAGAGTTGGAAGACGAGTTGAGGAATATGGAGGTTGATATGCAGTGTGAAATATATCATGAAATGGTTAGAAAATTCAAGAAGTTTGGAGTTATCGCAGCGGATGACGGTAGGGAAATCGGGACTGTGCTATTTTGTGGAGGAAATGGAAGATCTTTGTAAAAACTGTTTTTTTCAGACCGATGGGAAAAGATGGATATTAAAAATTGGCCCAAAGTTGATCCGGAAAAAAACAGAGGAATTGACTTAGACGAGAAGTCAGATGGTTCATCTGACCCACAAGGCGAAATGAGGGGATGCTCTTCCCAAACAATCTTAAAGAAAACAAAGAGAACTAAACGTGCCAGGAAGCCAAGAGGTGAGAAGAAAGAAAGGAAGACGAAGGATGATGCCAAAAATGACCCCACGAGCGAAATGGGAGGCTGCTCCTCAAAACATTCATCGCCATCAAAGAAAGCCAAGGAGCCGAGGAGCGAAAAGACAAAAGGAAATAAGACCAAGGATATCGCTAAGATCAGTGGCTCTTCTGAAGCTAAAAGCGGAAACAATGACTCGCCTCCTCTAAGGATCAGACTGCCATTAAAGAAAGCTATACTTGCCAAGGAGCCAATAGTCGAGAAAACGAAAGGAAAGAAGACGAGGGCTGTTACTAATAAAAATGGGTCTTATAAATCTAAGAGCGGAACCAGTGGCTGGTCTCCACTAAAATTGACGTTGTCGTTAAAGGATTCTGTACATGTCAAAGAGTCAGCAGCTGAAAGGACGAAAGAAAGGAAGACGAGGGATGTTGCTGAGGTGAATGGCCCCCCTGTCTCTGGAAGCGGAATCAGTGGCCGCTCTCCCTCGAAAAAGCCGTCGCCATCAAAAAAGCCGTCGCCATCAAAGAGACCTAAACAAGTCAAGGAACCGGGACCTCAGAAGGCGAGAGGGGGGAAGACGAGGGGCCGCTCTTCCCCTCCGATTCCACCACCATCAAAGAAACCTAGACGTGTCAACGAGCTCAGAGATGAGAAGACGAGAGATGTCAAAACTCGTCCCACAACGCGGGTGTCCAAAATGGATACTGTTCCTACCTCGACTGGTACGCGAATATTTTCTATATTCACGTGTATTTTCTAGTCGTAAAAAGGTAATTCTTTTCAGGAATACGAAACACAGTTCGTAAGGGCAGAAAGATTGCAGCCTCCACCTCTAAAAGTGGCAAAACTAGTAAGAGGAAGACTGGGAAGAAGGGTTACTCTAGGAAACGCAAACAAGCACAGGGTAAATGTGGTCGTCCTAGTACTTTCCAAATTCAGGTCAAATTCAGATTCGATCGGACTTTCATTTTTAGCTTCCGCTTCGGGATCCCAGAGTTCTACAGTCCTTCCGGATGACCAACAGCCGGATGTTTACGAATTAGATCCGCCAGACGGAATATACTGCTACTGTAGGAAAGTAAGTGAAATTCTAGCAATGCATTTTGTCGTTGTTATTAGTATAAGTCTGGATTAGAAATGTTGTGAATTTTTCTAAGGGAAGCAATGGCCGAATGATTGCTTGTGATGGCCGTGACTGCGTATGGGACGGTTGGTTCCACTTGAAGTGTGTTGGCCTAAAGGCGGTCCCGAAGGGTACGTAAGGATCATTTTTCTTCTCTATTTCTTTTCCTCTACTTCACCTTCACCACTCATAATCACCACAGTCAAACCCGTTCAATTCCTCCCTATTTTTTTGTAACCGTTTGAGAATGAAAACTGCATTTGAACAACAAATCGGGGCACAGTCGCACGCGAGAATGCCTGTGAAAAGTTGGTGGACAGTAGTATTTTTTGTCTCTTACAGGGCCAGCTCTTTCAGTATTGCCCTTTACTGAATGCAGATCACTAGTATGTATGAGAACGAACAAAAAAAAACCTGAAAAATTAAAGTGAAGGGGAAACATTCGCGGCGTTCTAGGCGAAGGTGCGCGTTATACATGAGTGTGCCTTATATTTTAGGAAGTAGAGCAAGTGCCTCTTAGGCAGCGTTCAGGCTTTGCGACGGCAGCGCTTCGGTCGCGCGTTCGACGCGATCGATGCAGTCAAAAGCATGCAAATCGATCGTTGAGTCGCGCGGTTGAAGCGCTGCCGTCGCGAAGTCTGAATGCTGACTTACTTGCTGTCTCCTCTGGATGTCACACTGACTCTCACATTAGAACTTTTTCAGTTTTCTGCGATAGCAATCCTTTGCACTAACGTGCTTGAGGGGGGGGGGGAAGGCCCCAGCCAAGGTTTGGGTGAGAGCGCAGACAGTCGGAGTCACTACGAGTTACAACAGCAGAGCAAGTAGTCACAAAGTTACTCTGACTGACTGCCTGCCTTGAACGTGTCCTCACCCCTCAAGGTCTTTGTTAGTTAGAGTGTTAATGAAGTGTGAAGCGTGCCTAGGATAAGAGCGCACGTCAAATGGTGAAACCAAATCTACGACGAGCACAAGGGTCGCCAGAAGGAAGGAAAGCGATGACAGACCAAATAACTCTTTCTGTTATACGCATAGTAAGTATTAGGTTGTCCGGAAAGTTCTCAGCGTTTTGTGCACCTATTTTTTGTACATTCACTGCTGATTAAAAACTCATTCTGCCTTGCTTCTCAGTAGCACATCCTGTAGAGAATTTCTTGCGCTATCTGATGGTATAATTGCCGTTTCACCATTGCTTGATAAACCCCCTTTTTTCAAGATTTTTTCAAGCATGTGAAAAGAGCACTTCGGACGATTTTTTTCTTCGACTATAAATTGGGGCAATCCGCAATCGAAACAGCTCAACAAATTAACCAGGTGTGGGGCCAATAGTGCTAGAGAAAGCACTGTGCGGCAATGGCTCAACAAATTTCGTTCTGGAGATTTCAGCCTTGAAGATGAACCTCATAGCGGTCGACCTAAAGCAATATCTGACGAGGATTTTAGGGGGATTTTGGAGGCTGACCCATCCCAAACAGTTCGAGAGATAGCAGAAGAGCTAGGCCTTGGCAAATCCACTGTTGCAGATGGTCTGGAACGCATTGGGAAGGTGAAAAAACTCGACAATTGGGTGCCCCACAATCGGAGTGACCGGCAGGAATCGGCACGTCTCGAGGTTCCTTCTGCATTGCTTTTGCGCAGCAGAAACGACCTGTTTTTGGGCCGAATTGTCACCTGTGATGAAAAATGGGTCATGTATGATAACAGGAGACGTTCCGGACAGTGGTTGGATTTCGACGAACCACCGAGGTAATTTTCAAAGCCGAACCCTCACGAAAAAAAGATTCTGGTCACGGCTTGGTGGTCATCGGCTGGTGTGATCCACTATAACTTTTTATCACCAGGCCAAACCATCACAGCAGAACCCTACTGTGAAGAAATCGACGAATTGTACCGAAAATTTTGTCAGATGCAGCCAACACTTATCAAAGAAAGGGTCCGATTCCTTTGCATGACAACGCCCGCCCACACGTTTCACAAATCACTATCCATAAATTGAACGAATTGGGGGTTGAAGTTCTACCTCAACCGCCATATTCTTCAGACCTTTCGCCAACCGACTATCACCTTTTCAAACATTTTCAGAACTCCCTTGCTGGAAAATACTTCATCAATCAGGACCAGGCAAAAAAGCCTTAGTGGATTTCGTGAATTTTCGACCACCCAGTTTTTTACTTTGATGGGATTTCTCGACTGCTGTCACATTGGCAAAAGTGTGCTGATTCGAATGGTGCCTATTTCGATTAAATCCGATGAGTATTAAAAAAGTTACGATCGTTTAAAGTGAAACACCCAAAACGCTGAGAACTTTCCGGACAACCTAATATTTCCCGCCATACTTGTGGCTTCTCTTCACGACAGCCCTACAGTATTGCAGAGGACAGGTGAAAGTGAGAAGAACAGGAAACGGTGGGATTTTAGTGAATTCCGATTGGGAGCTGACGAAAAAACGGAGCTGTTCATTTTAGGGGGGAGGGGGAGTGTTCTGCACATTTACTTGTTTCCATGGCTAGACTTCGTTGCATTACAGTAGTGATCCATGCAAATGATTGGGGCATTTGATGCGGCACGGTTGAGAGCGCAACCAGGGCGGCCTTGTTCCGGCAATAGTGTCGTCCTGAGTTCGCTACGACTGGTGAAAGATGTGTTCTGACTCTGCTCCGAGCCGCGCCCCCGCCCTGCACCCGATCGTTTCCTGGGATAAGGCTGTGCTCGCATTATTATAGAAGAAACCTGTAGGCACCTGTCAAATAGGTGGGAACCAGACTACCTACATGACAGGTGCCCACCGGGCCAAATGCTTCGAAAAAGCTGAAGAAGCTGCTAAAAGTCATCAAAGGGTCGAGTGAAGCAAAACTGGAAAGGGAAGACCTCTGCGTGTTCTCGAGGGGTGAAGCCAACTGAGGTTTGGGCAGTCATCAGCTTGAACTAGAAAGCAGGGAGAAGGACGGAAAACGTCACGAAGTTGTTCGGAATCCAAGTCTGGGGTGGAAAGGATAGAAGACACCGCGTGGTGGAAAGACATATCTCCCAAGCTACACTCCAGTCGGACATGTCTATAGGGGTGGAATGACCCCACCCCTCCTGTGTTTTTTCCTTGTGGCCTGCCTAAAAATCTATGGAGAAGAAAATAAACGGTGGCAGGAAACGCCACGGTTGGACACGCATGCCTCCTGACACCAACCCGACTGATTGCGACGATATCAGCCGTCGGGGCGGTGTCAGTCAGGGGCAGGGGTGCAGTGACTTCGCTACTACTTTGTTTTCTTCTAGTAAGGGCTACCTGTCAGTAGATCCAGAAAGAACACAACCAGTGGTAGGAAACATTGCGATTGGACTTATTCCATGCCTCCTGACACCACCCCGACTGACTACGATGATATCAGCCGTCGGGACGGTGTCAGTTAGGGATGCAGTGACTCGGCCCCTGCTGTGTTTTCTTAGAGTAGGGACTGTCTATCATTAGATCCGGGAAGAAAACAACCAGCGGTAGGAAACACTGCGATTGGGCTTACCCTATGCCTCATACTCAGAAAAGTACGCAGTCACGCCTCCCCAACCCTGAGACTTGGAGTCCATATGTTGTTAGTATTGTTAGTAGTACTATTCGGCGCTATTCACCTTTTCTGCCATTCTCCTAGGAATTTAGGTCCGATTCCCTTCAGATTGAAGTATGATATTTGTGTACACGGATTAAACAACTGTGGGTACAGGTACACACCAACCAAAGGGTCTTCGCGAACAAATTTCTGTTGAAGTCTAACTCAATAGTCAAACAGTAACGAAGGGATTGCAAGTGGTGGCCATCATTTTTTGGGAATCATTGTTAGGTCGCTTCAAAATTGATGCCTTCCTTTTTTCAGGATTTTGGTTCTGTGATACATGCAAGGATATCCCACAGGAAAACCCTGACCCTGCTCCCGGCTGGCCGTTCGGCAGAATTATCAAAGAGGAGGCTCCCGATGATGGCGAATACGGTGTAGGACCACCACCGCTTGCGCAGGATCCTGTCGAAAATGAAGGAGTTGAAGAACATCCCGTCTATGATGTGAATGAGAACTGTGAAAATGACGAGGACGTCAACGTGGTCAAGGTTATTAAGCAGGAAGTTATTGAAGACAACGAAGATGACGACAGCTATAGATATGTGGGAAATCCTATCATACGTAGACACCTGGCATCCAGTGGGCCTTTGATGCGAGCGCTGCTCGCCTGTGCGTGAGCGCGTAAGGAAGAACCGATAGATCCTGGATATGGAGACCTACCGGGTACATCGAAAGGGACAGAATTCAACAGATACGCGGATTATGGCTCGACACCGCACAGTGATGAAGGATCCTGTCGTACAGCGGATGAACAAGGATATGAGGGATCAGGAAGCTCCACAGATGAGTCCGAATCAAGTGGATCAGATGAATTAGAAAGTACTACTGAATCAGAAAGTGATGATGAGAGCAGTTCGGAGAAAGACGACAAGGATCCGGTTGAAGGTGACAACGAGATGGAGGAGTGATCGCCTTGTAAGTGATATCTAGTTCCAGTGAGTAATAATGAGAACGATAACCGTATATTATATGAAAACAAGTCATAGTATTGCTCATGATTTGAATATGAATTTTAGATGTCGTGCAAGCTCCGAGCACACAATTACCTCATTGTGCGATGAAAAACGTGCTTACCGTCATCATTGATCATCGTGTTTTTTTCTTATTGTTCTCTTGTGTTTTTTTCCATCAAAAATTCTATCTAGACTCAATATCGTTTGCCGTTTGTTTTCCTTTTTGTGAAGGTTAAAACTCGTCTGTCTCTTTCTTCTGAAGTTTGTCGTTTTTCAATCAAGAAAATGAGCCGCTGGAGGCTTTTTTTTGAAGCCTGTTTACGGTTGTCATTGATCAGTGTTTGTTTTTTTCTTGTTGTTCTCTTGTGTTTTTTTTTCATCAAAAACTCTATCTAGATTCTATAGCGTTCGCCTTCTATCTTCCTCTTGTAAAAGTTGAAGTGCTCCGTCTTTTTGTCTTCTTTTTTTTCCAATCAAGTAGAGTAAGCCGCTGGAGGCTTTTTTTTGAAGCCTATATACGGTTGTCATTGATTAGTGTTTGTTTTTTTTTCTCGTTGTTCTCTTGTGTTTTTTCCACTCAAAATCTATCTAGATTCAATACCGTCCTATTTTCCTTTTGTAGAAGTCAAAATTTGTCTAGCTGTTCTTTGTAAAATTTGTCTTTTTTTCAATAAAGAGAAGTAAGATACTGGACACCCTCTTTCGCGGTTCCTAGCTCCATCCAGTGAACATGAGCCTGTTTACGGTTGCACGTCCATATGTTCCTTTTCATATGAAACCCAAGCCTCGCGACTTTTCCCACCCTTTCAATCTACCGTCGTGTGTACGGTGAGGAAACATCATAGGTGAAACCGGTGGGCATTATTTGATGTCTTTCTTCTGATGAAGCCTCTTTTGTAGTTCTTGCAAAATATCTGTTGACTTCAAGAAGAGTTCTCTGCATACTCTGTAAATCAATTTGCGAAAGGATACCAAAGGGTTCCAACATTCTCAAAGGTAGTGGGCAGATAATTTGGTTTTCTACAGAAAACGAAAGCAGAGGGAGTAAAGCAAAAACGGGACAATACGACCTTAAACCCCTGAAATAAGGCCGTTAGTAAACGCTCCAGTCAGGAAGTGTACGAGCCTATGCCCGAGATTGATAGTAATTGCTATTCAAAAATCAATGCGTTATCACGGGAACTGCAAAGGAATATGCTTGTTGTTGCTATTGTTTCAAGCGGTAGCAAACTTAACGAAACTGTCAACAGGGTCCCTAACTGGAAAGGGACATATTAAGAACATTTTCACGGTGTAACTCGCGGGTCCCCGATAATACTGCCGTGAAGTGCTACGATTAACTAATATTTTTTTTATACCATTTTCACTTTAAATCGGACACTTTTCAAACCAAATCGGACACTTTTCAAACCAAATCGGACACTTTTCAAACCAAATCGGACACTTTTCAAATCAAATCGGACACACCCCTACCAAGGGCAGTTGATAACTAGACCACACTAGGTACTGCTGCAAGCCCCGCCCCAACACCCCCGCCCACCTTTCCAGCGCGGTCACGGTTTTCGCTTGTTCGACTTTTTCCAACTTTTGCTAGTTGCACACACACTTCAACTGAAAAGGATTGGTACCGACACAGATCTGACTCCGCCCACTTCACAATCAAGTGAAGTAAGTTCTGACTTTTTATTCTCACATAGAATGAAAAAAAAGAAAGCCCACAAAAAAGGGAAACTTTGTTCCGGGTGACGGGAGAGGCCATAACCTGCTAGTACGGTCACTAGCTCGCCGATCTGCATCATTTTTGAAAAGTGGGCGGGGCTTATACAAGCCAAAATATGAAGTCATCTCCAGTCGCAGCCTGACTGGAGAAGACCTTTGGAATTCATGTCACCTCCAAACAGCTGCGAAACTTCTAGTATGGAGTCACCCATGGATAGCTACCTGGAGACCAGTACTCTCGATCTGGAAGACCTCCAACATCGAGCAGCTCCGACAACGTCGCTACGGTCTAGGACATCATCTTCACCGTAGTCGCCGAGGCGCGAGTTGATGGTATGGACCGGAGTACCTGGAATGGGAAGACCGATATTTTCTTTGTAGACCCGGACTGAAGGTGAACGCTGGCGATTGATCCTCCCTACATGTCGTCGCCCGTACCTTCTTGGAAACTTTGTACTGCTACAGGTTTGGGTGCCACCACATGGAATCGAAGGGTGTTGGAAAAACTCTCGCCTACTTGAATGGAAGGGCGTTTAGTACCTGAAGAAGATGAAATATTCAAGTATGTCCCCTGACCTAAACCCTCTCAATTACCGGTTCGGGCGGAGCTCAACAAGGGGGTCTACAGTGGCCGAGAAATCAACTATCTCGCTGAAGCCAGGTACCGAATCACGGTCGCGTGGCAGAATCTCTCGATGGCGCTCCTCCAGAAGGCTGTGGCGGAGTATCATGAGTATTTAATATGGTGGTAGAATTGTCCGATCAGAATTTAATAAAGAGTAACTTATTACGCCCTTCAAGGGAGAAAAGTGATTTTTTTGGCTTTTTGCCCCCCCCCCCTCCCCTCTGTAGATTTGCTCTCGACTATTCGCTTAGGGCCTATACGAGCCCATGTGTCCGCGAGCCGAGTTCACTCGTACTATTATATCAGATGAAGAAATGCATGATTTGCACATGGCGTCTTTGTAGCAATCTTGCTGCATGCAGGCAAAGAGCAGGGAATGAAAACTGAAGAATATCACTGTTAACGCCGGGATATGTACAGTGTTCAACAAAGTCATTGGGGTATGGAAGACGATTCCCTAACCAAGGGTCCTAAACACGAGGTCTCAGTGATGAACCTGCAGCTCATGACCAATTCCTTCTAGAGAAATAAGAGAAAGAAAGCCTGACCACACCCTGAACAGAGACCCACGCAGTGGAGCGGTAACTTGTGCAATTTTTTCGGATGTCACATAGGGTCAACCAGCAGGATTCAATGTGCAACCAGTTCCTTTCAAGAGCATAGACATTTGCCCTATGACGCTCCAGGTAACACTACGTACACGCGGAATCCCGCTCGTAAGGCGTTGTATTGGTAATCGTGGTCGCAATGGTTGCATTACTCACACGTCTCCAACTCCTTTATCACGCCGTTTCGAGTAAAGTGAGTGGTGCAAAGTGCGCGATTTTCGCAAATGCGGACAGCGATGCCACCACTACGCGGACCATTCGAACAACCGTTTTGTCTTGAAGGATGCTTAACTGAACGCATTATTGCACAGCAGGTTAGCAGCTTGGAGCAAAGGACCAGGAAATGTGTTGTTACCATCTTTCGTGTAGCTGGGTCAAGCTTTTTGCTTTCCTGATGGTCACGCTCAGGACATCAGCAGTTAGATCCAGGGCACGCCATTGCGTTGTGATCATCGCTAATTACGACTCCCCCCAGAATTAGGGTCTAATACGACCCCCCCCTGTCACGAGGGTACAAATGAAAAGAAGCGCAAAAGGGACGAAGAAAATGACAATAAAGAGAACTGGGCGCTATTGAACTATTCCAAAAACTCAAAAAAAAATTTATGCTGAAACTTTGTCTATCGATGTTATTCGATGTCCTGATCACGAGTGTGACATCATTTCTCCATACCAGCGCTATTTGGCGCTCTGCTGAGGCTGAAACTGAGAAAAGGGAAGATTTCCCGCAGGTCAGGCTCAGTCTTAGCAAAGCGCAGATGACCATAGTGTCCTACGTTAGCGCTGGCGCCAAGAATAAATATCATATTCGTAATCAGGATGTCAAATAACCCCCGTATACAAGTTTTCATCGATTTTGGTGATTCAGGGTATTTTGGCCCCGGCGCCTGTGGCGCGGCGCCAAAATACCCTAAATCACCAAAATCGATGAAAAGTTTTGGGCAAAGCGGGTGTGATATTCGTGTTCAGGAGGTCGAAGTACCACTGTAACAAATTTCCATCCAAATCTGCCTCCTCTGAAAAAATCGATAAAAAATTGGCCTGATTTCGGCAGACTGGGGTAGGAGTAGTTCGATAATGCCAAATACTACAACAATACAACCTTAAAAACTACTAGAAAACAAAAAAGAGATCTAAAATACCAAACAAACGACAAAAAACTCACCAGAAGTACTAGGAACTATGCATTAGTTTTTGAATATTAGTTGTTCGCGGTCATCCGCACGCGAGCAGTGCAATTCCCACGCTAATACAAGCGCATTGGTGCGCGCTATTTTACGACCTGGAGCCAATTTCAAGCCAAACACTCGAAAAGTACCCCTCTTTTGAACACCCATAACTTCGTTGAAAGTAAAGCTCTCGGAGAGGGGAAAGTGGGAATGAGTGGAGCTAGGTTGGCTCTTGCTACCTGAGTTTGAGCTTTTTTCTGTTCCTTTTTCTGTTTCTGTTTCTTTCAGACTTTTTTCAAAAACATTCCTTTTCTAGAAATTTTCTCCTCTTGTGATCATGGGGGCCAACCACAAGTCGCTACGCTTTGGACATCCATGGCAAGCTTCATACACGGCCTTTCGTAAAAAAAAAGAACTGTGCCGGAAGCATGAAGCTTTCTACTTTCCAGCAAGAACTTTCATTTTATCCCTAGGCCTGCTATTCGAAAAAATCCCCCGTTGTGATCATAAAAATCACTCCCCACGGCCCGAAAAATCAACCCCTCCGACGCCAGAGAAATCTCCAGTTGGCTTTAAGATATGCTTCTAAAACGCATGTTTTTGCCAAGGATACCAGGAAATAGTTCATTGGACGCCAATTGGCATCACCTCTTGCGCCATGCATAGCGCTTTCACGCAGAGCTATTGGGAAGGTGCAACTTCTAGAAAGGGCTTCCTTCGTGCAGGTAGATGTGCTTGCGTGGTGTTGTGACAAGTGGCGCGCTCGGGACTCGTGTGATTCTATCGTCGGCAAGCCAAGCGACGCCGCACACGCCGCGCACGGCACGCCGCAAC